ATGGCACATTCCTAAGTACCTTCTTAATACTTCGTTGACAAAGTAAAAAGTTTTGTAACTAACTACTTAAAGCTTCAGAAAGAATTCTTATTAATGGTGCCTTTCAGAATACTTCATTGAACTGTACTAACGTACCTGTGGCAAGCAATAAAATAGATGAATTCTTGACTGGACCGGATTTGATATGAGTCCATTACAATTTACAGATGGATCAGGTCCAATACTTTGAACTATTTTAGACCATTCCATGTCTGGACCATCCAATCTGTACAAATTGGTTTTAATTTAGATTGATTCTAACTCAAACCTGGTCAATTGACATCAGTACTCTTTATCTTTTATAAATGAATAGATCAGATCCAATCCAATAAATATTTTGGACTATTAAATTTGGACTGATCTCATTCAATGTCTTATTGTCTGTCAATCTGTCTAAACTGATTTTGATTCGAACAGGTCCCCAAAACTGGTCTATTGATGGGTATTATATGTTTGAAGGCCCTTTGTTTTGCACACGGAATTAATCATCTTGTTTGTAAACTTATCTGGAGGGTTCCTCATCAAGTGGGTAAATCCAAAGTTTTGCATTCTTTTCCTTCCACGTGGCAGAAAACATGCCAGCTGGCAAGAAATATATCTATACTATATTATTCGACTAGTAACACAAATTTTAATACTTCATCATATAACTGGCTTTTTGCCTAATGTTGTAAAGTAATTCATTTGATCTTTAATCTGTTTTTTTGTGGTTTTCTTTGCACACAGGAATTGATGACCCATCTTGTTTTTAAACTAATCTAGAGAGTTCCACATCCAGTGGGTAAATCCAAAGTTTTGCAATTTGTCCTTCCACGTTGCAGAAAAACATGCCACCTGGTAAGAAATATAGCTATATACAAAATCACAAATTTTAACTTTATCATAACTGGCTTTTTGGCCAATGTTGTAAAGTAACTTATTTAATCTTTTGTCTGTTTGTTGTGGGCATTCTTTTCTTTAAATTGAACATTGCCACCTTTTATAAAACTGAAGTTTGAATTTTGAAATCTGAAAAGTAGGATATCTCTTTCTAAAGATCTGGTGGTGATCAATGCATACATCACCTCTTACCAAATCAGATTTATTATATTTTTAGAGGTATAATTCAGACAATAACACAAACAAGACCAACCTCTGAAAAGCATATTTCCGTATTATTATCAAATGCCACCAAGTCCTTAATGGTTCTGTCACGTCCTCCCCAACAACACATGAATGCAGGAAACATGTACATTAATGGCAAAAAAGGTTTTTCACATGTGAGTTCAAATCAGTCTCCCACAAGACTCTCCGAAGAATGTCCTACAGTACATCCCTGCTGTATATTAAGAACATCTCTCGATGATAATATTCAGGATGATGATGTCATTATTGGGAGATGTTCTCAATACACTGAAGGGATGTACTGTGGTATATTATGGGGGGCAGTTTTGTGGGGGGCTGATTTGGTCTCTTCACGTGTTTGATTAGTTTGGTGGATAACTTCTTTCCAAAGTCTTTGGAGGTGATTGGTGCTTGAAAGAATCATTTGGGTATTATATATTGATTAAGTGAATTGAGAATTTAATCCAAAGGTTGTGTAAAATTTGGATTTTTGTGTAAGCAATGTTATTGACCATGATAAAAAGATTTGGAAGGAGGACTTTATTAGGACTCTTTTTCCTAATAGGGTTTACCATTGTATCAAATCAATCTTGATTCCCTCTGATTTATCTAAGGATAGAATTGTTTGGAAACCCACACCAGATGACAATTTTTTTTTTTTTTTTTTTAAAATTGGCCTACAATGAAGAGTGTAATCGGAATATGAAAGTGGTTTTGTTGCTAGTTGTGAAATGTCTTTCTGGAATCTTAAGATTCCTCCAAAAATTAAAGTATTCTTATTCCTCTTGTTCAATGACAACCTTCCAACTAAAGGTAAGCTCTTTTCTAGAGTCATGAATTTGAATCCCAAAGTGAATTCTGCAATGAAAATAAAACTTCTGATCATTTATTTATTTTGTGCCCTTTTACTAAGCAAATCTGGTTTAGGGTGAGGTCATTGTTTCCGACCCCAAATTCTAATGATAATTTGACCAATGACTGGTGGTCTAGTGATTTGAGAAAACAAAGTATTATTAGTGAGTAGTTTCTTAAAGAAAAGTTGACAGTGATACTTTGGCTTATTTGGAACAATAAAAATGACAAGTGTTTTAAAAATAATTTGCCCATCTCCAAATTATTGTTGAAAGAACTCTTACTTATTGGGAGAAATCAAATCTTGTTTTTCTTCTGATCCCAATGAGACTTCTAAAGAGTGGAATTTTATAGGATGAGGCAATCCCAATCCTGGGACCATCAAGGTTAACTTTGATGCATCCTGTAGGTTGGATGGTTAGTACTCTATGGGATACATTGCTAGGGACCATATGGGTTTTATTTTTGACCTCAAAGCCTATTGCATTGGGGTATCTTCAATTAATCAGGTTGAGGCCTAAGCTACTTGGGAGGCCATCAATATTGCTCTAAATTTACAGAATTCCCCTATCCTTATTGAAGGAGACTTGAAGCTCGTGGTTGACTAACTCAAGAAGAGAGTAAAGCCCTTGTGGAGATTGGACAGTATCATTAGTGAGTGTCTCTTCCTCGAGACCGTATTCAGTTCAAACATCACCTTTAGGCATACCTATCGTGAGGCAAACCAGGCAGCAAATTGGCTAGCGTGCAACGCCCCTTCCTATCATCTGGCTAGTTTAGGTTCAGTTCCTGGGGAAGGGCTACCCCGTCTTGTGTAGCCCCTCACCTTTTTCTATAAAAAAAAAAGAATTGAGAATTTAATTTAATGAGAATAAAATTAAAGCTGCAAAATAGCTTGTAGTTATATTTCAAAAGCTTAGATCGATGAATCTGTTTGCAAATTGTGTACAGATTCCAAAATAGCTTTCTTTAAACTGTTTTTCACCCTTTATTTAAATACACAAAACTGAAGTTAGCAGCCTAACTCCCTCTTTCTAATTTAAGCTATCCAGAGACTGTTTTAGGAATTTTAAATCTAACAAACAAGGGAATTGGAAGGCATATTATAATATTTGCATTTTACTCCAAAATGGTGTGAAAAGAAGGAACAAGATTACCCAAATTGGTTCATCGATTTCCTGTCTGAATTCCATTTCCACCTTGATCCAAACATAACTAGAAGAATCTAAATACGCCTATGAAGGAGCACTCTCTATTATTTGATGGAAGCCTAACACCAAACTTCCATCCTTGAATGGTGATAGGTCCCATTCCATCTAACAACCATTGACTGGATAAGCACTATCTCCCTCCCGTGAAGGACTACTTATCAAATCAGTGCACATAAATAAAATCATTATTTGGACTATAATACTAAGCCAAGGAAACTAGTTTAGGTTGACTTCCTTTAATCGGAAGAAAGTTAAAACTACAAAAGAGGATAATTTCCTATATTGAGCAACAATCAGTGTAAAGAAAGCTATTTTGAATCTATACACACTTTGTAGACACATTCATCTGATCTGACATGATAATTAATTAGTTATTTAATAAAGCGTAGTTAATGAATTGAAAATGAACTTCCTTGCACCATATCCTTTATAAGCTTTAAGCTTATCCCTTTTTTTATAGAGAAATGGGTTGAGTATGACACTAATGTTTTCGAACTGTGGTTGATTTTGATGATCGGACTATTATAAGCAATCAGTTTTGTTTTATTCCAAACCTGTTTCTTATCAAAAACCGCTGAATTGATCAGCGACTCATTAACTCGGATAATTGAACTATTGATCCATCTAATTCGTTTAATGGGTTTTAATTATTTATTATTTTTTTATTGAAACGGGCCATCTATTTGAACTGAATGATCGAACCATTGACCCTAAAACTAGAATCACTCTGCTTCTAGTCTTGGCCTTCTTAATTTACCATCTAATTTATGCATCATTTTCAGAACTTGCTTGTGACCACCGTCCCAGTATTTGCTGAATTGCTTCAAATCACGCATGTTTGTTAAAAGATTCTAAGATAATTGTTTTTTTACCTAACTAATCTTCAAAGTTGGTCCTCCTCATCATCCCAATTATTAATCCAGAAGAGATGCAAAATAAAAAGGTTAAGGTGGGTAGGTACCCTCTTGGCTGAACAGTATTGCTTATTAGCTGAACTGAATTGCTTATCTGGTTGACTAAGAGACAACCCCCATTAGGAATTCAGTTCAGCCAATTTAGTCATTATCAAATAACAGGGCCTCTTATATATCCGTAAGTTAAAAATGTGAAAAAATGATGGTTGAGAAGAAAAAGGAGATCTGTTCTTCTAGAAGAGAGCAGAATTACAATCTGTCGGCATAAGAGATTACATATATAAATAATTCAGCTAAATGACATGCTCTTCAGTATCTTTTCCCTGAACTAATTATTTTCGGGATTTGGGCATTTTTTTCTAGCATTACCAGTAAAAATTAACTGATGCTTCAATAAGTTCGATTGTTGATAAATCAAGCATTTAAATGGATGAGTTTTCACATTAATTGTTGTAGATTTGGAGGGTTCTTGTTTTTTGGACAAATTTGAAAGCCCATAAGAAAGCCATCTCCACCGTAATTGTTTGATTCATGCATTGCTACAGGTGTAAACTTCAGACTCTAATACGTAGACAGTGATTATCAAAATCTCACAAGGCCTCCATATATTCATCTCCTTGGACATTGATCATGACGAGAGAGAGAGAGAGAGGATCAAAGTCAAATTGTGATAAATTAAAAAAGAACAAAATAAACAACTGTATCGATGACAATAGATGAAGCAACACTAATTATATATTTATTTTTGTTGCTGTTGTTTTTCTTGGAGCTTCTTCCCTTACTTTATTCATCACAGACCATGTGGTTGGTGGTGTCGGAGTGTTAGTGTATAAATACGTCTAAGGTCTAATTCAATTGTCAAACTCAATCAACCCACAAAGCTTGTATCCTCCGCACAACCCTCCTCCTGCCTCCTATATCCAAAAGCCATGAAGCTGCGAAGGGAGAGTTCCAGGATTGTAAAGCCAAATTACGAAGGAGATATTCCCCCTTCAAACACTGCTCGCATTCCTCTGAGCGTCTTCGACAAGGTCACCTATAACACCCACATAGCTGTAATCTATGCGTACCGACCACCAATCCCTCCAAATGCGACCATAGAGCAAGGCCTCGGCAAGGCCCTAGCGGAGTACAGAGAGTGGGCTGGCAGATTGGAAGCAGACGACAAGGGTGACCCTCTCATTTTGCTCAACGACCATGGCGTCAATTTTGTGGAAGCATCGGCGGACTGCACGCTCGACCAGACCATGCCCTTCAAGCCATCGCCAGCTTTGCTGAGCCTCCACCCCAGTCTCAAGGAGGCAAAAGCCTTGCTGCAGGTTCAACTCACAAGGTTCACTTGTGGGTCGTTGGTGGTAGGGTTTACAGCCCATCACCTGGTCGCCGACGGCCATTCCACCAGCAACTTCTTGGTTGCATGGGGACAAGCTTGCCGGGGCATCGAGATGAGCCCTCGTCCCCTGCACAACCGCGCCATATTTGCTCCTCGAGACCCTCCTCTGATCGAGTTCGAACACAGAGGTGTGGAGTACATGAGCAGGAATCTCAACAAAGTGTATCCTCTCTTTCAAACCTCAGCCGATGATGATGATATCGTCGTACACAAGGCTCACTTCACGTTGGAGTTTCTAGTCAAGCTCAAAGCCAAGGCTTCATCGGGGAGCGGTCGCAACAGGCCTTACAGCACGTTCGAGAGCTTGGTTGCTCATCTATGGAGAGCCATAACCAGGGCTCGCGGGCTCAATGGTTTCGAGACGACGAAAGTTAGAATCTCAGTGAACGGCCGGTCGAGGCTCAGCCCTCGCGTACCGAACGAGTACTTCGGGAATCTGGTGCTGTGGGCATTTCCAAGTGCTAAGGTGAAGGACCTGCTGCGTGAGCCATTGTCCTTTGCGGCCAAGATCATCCATGAAGCAGTTGCAGAGGTGAACGACAGTTACTTCAAATCATTCATCGACTATGCAAGCAGCAGGGTGAAGGAGGAGGGTCTCATTCCATCAGCAGACATGGATAAATCGGTTCTGTGCCCCAATTTGGAGGTGGATAGCTGGCTGAGGTTCCCATTCTACGACCTTGATTTTGGTGGCGGGAGCCCTTATATTTTCATGCCATCTTATTTCCCAACAGAAGGAATGATGTTTCTTCTCCCTTCCTTCATTGGAGATGGAAGCATCGATGCCTTCATCCCTTTGTTTCAGGACAACGTAGCCTCCTTCAAACAGTTCTGTTACTCTCTGGACATCTGAACTGTTTCCCCTTCTAAGTTCTAATAACCCATATTGATGTGAAAGTTAAAACTTCATAATAGTTTTTCTTTTCTTTTTTTTTTTCTTTCTTTTGTTGAAAAAACCTTCACAGTTCAAACCTCCTCTTCTTAGTATATATGTGGTCTCTTCTATATATTGTTTGAGAAGTCTTAATTAAATAATCCTTCATCCTGAATTTCATAAATTCATGGAACATCTTAATTACCTATTTCTCTCATCTTCTTTTATATGTCTTTTGGTGATATCTAAAATCCAATGTTGTCTTATTATATTATTGACAGGTTGCTAATAATCGCCACTGACCAGATTCAAGCATGATCTACTTGCTTGTAGAAATTAACACAGACAATCAGAAAGGTTTTAATTTGTTAGATATATGAAACCATCCCTCCCCAGTTCTAACCAAATCCCAACCCAATATATAATTCAAGGAACACTTAAATTTATAAATATGTGACACATGTGTGGTTAAGGGCTCTACGAGAGGTAAAGGAATTTTAAAAAGGAGGGACTGGTCCTTCGTGGTGGATGTTAAAGCCACTTCGTGCAAGATGCGTGCCCTAGTCATCCACTGTAAAAATGACCCTTTCCATCCTTTTGAAAGGAGGCATATATAGAGATCAGCTTGACCCTTGTTCAGAGGATACTAGAAGAAGATCTGTGTCATGCACAGGTTGGTGTTGGGTTTAAAAGGATGCCCATGTTATATTTAGATTCTTAGGTAGTGGGTGAACTTAAATAGTTTCATATAATTAATTTTATATTTTTAAAAATTAAAAAAAAAAACTCAAAAGGGTTGAGAAGTAGTAATGTTAGGAGTCTGACGTAGACAACTGTATTTTAGAATATAATGTAGATAAGAATTGTTTAAATGGGTTCCATCAGTGGGGATTAAATGGATAAAAATCAGCTTAAGGTAAGGTGGTAGCTAGCTGCTTGCTTTCATGTTTATACTTGAGTGGTGGAAGTAAGATTTTATGAAGTTCCGAAAGATAATGGAGAAATTCAAATTGGTCTCTTGTAAATCTCTATGTATGGACAAGAAGTTTGGTGGGTTTAGGTCTGAAATTAGCTAGGGCTTCATTGTTTGCATTTGCTTGGTGTGGTTCATTAATTTTGAGGATGGCTTGTGGACAAACATGTTGAAAACCAAATATTTAACGATTAATTCTTGGTAGCCAGGGAAAATAAGCCATCATCAGTTTTGTTTCTACTTTGTTAAAAGCATATGGGAGTTTTGAAGGGGTTTCAAAATGAGGTGGGTTAATTGTCAAATTTCTGTAGGGTTGAAGTCTAATGTTTGGGAAACCAAATGGGTTTTATGGACCTATGGGATCTTGTGGGAAGAGCAACAGAGTTTAGAGTTTGATTTTCTTCTTCCTAATTTCAGAAGTCAAGGTTGTGATAAATTTGTTTAGACTGGGGCTAGGAATGGACAATTCATTGATAGAGATTTCCATATAGAGAGCAAAATAGAGTTTCTAATGATAATAGATTTAATTTCTTGTTTTAATTGGTTTTATATTGTTTGGAAACTTAAAAAATTCCTCCAAAGTTTGGATTATTTTTGTAGAGCTAGAGTTTGTGCCTGTTAACTAGGGATACTTTGAGAAGATACAATATTAAATGTGATTTTAAAACATGGTTTTCAAAATCAGACCGGACCAGATGTTTGGACCGGAAAAACCAGGAATTGGTTTTTGTTTTACCCTAGAACCGTTATTTTGTCAAAAATCGTTGATTTGGTCAGCAAACAGCTAACCTAAGTGATTGAATCGTTCAAATCGTCCAACAATTTTGATCATTTTTTAATTTTATTAATTTTTTTGTTAGAAAGGGCTGTATGTTCAATTTGAACGATTAAACTGTTCGATCCAAAAACCGGATCCCTGACCATTGTCTAGTTCAATTTTAAAAACCTTGTTTTAAAATATATTTTTTGTGGTGTTTCTGTGAGTCTATAGTATTCATTTATTTTGCTCTTACCCGTTGACTAGAGCTATGCTTTTTGTAGGTCCTTGGGGTCTTTTGTTTTAATCTTAGATCTCAGTATTTAATTTGATGCAATTGTGTGCATGACTATTGATGAGGGCAGATTTGGCCCTAGTGAAATTGCGACACGTGGCACATCGTGACAACTAGGCAAGCACCCAGGCAACAACTTACCAAGTTGGT